GAAAACAAAAATCCTCACAACTGGACCAATAAGCAACATCATGATAAACAGAGAAAAGATTGAAGTTGTCAAGGATTTCATTTTACTTGGATCCACAAGCAGTGCCCACGGAAGCAGCAGCCGAGAAATCAAACATAGCATTTGGCAAATCTGCTGCAAAAGACCTCATTAAAGTGTTAAAAAGCAAAGATGTCACTTTGAGGACTAAGGTGTTCCTTACACAAGCCATGGTATTTTCAATCACCTCATGTGCATGCAAAACCTGGACTACAAATAAGGAAGACCGAAGAAGAATTGATGCCTTTGAACTATGGTGCTGACGAAGAGTATTGAATATACTATGGAGTGCTAGAAGAAGGAACAAATTTGTCTCGGAAGAAGTGCAGCCAGAATGCTCCTTACAAGCAAGGATGACAAGACTTCGTCTCACATACTTTGGACATGTTATCGGGAGGGACCAGTCCCTGGAGACGGACATTATGCTTGGTAAAGTAGAGGGTCAGCGAAAAAAAGGAAAATCCTCAAGGAGATGGATTGATACAGTGACTACAACAATGGGCTCAAGCATAACAATAATTGTAAGGATGGCACAGAACTGGGCAGTGTTTCGTTCTGTTGTACATAGGGTCGCTATGAGTCAGAACTGACTCGATGGCACCTAACAACAGCAACAACAGAGATAATCTACATTGCTAACAAAGGGAATTTGGCCAAGTAAATTAAGCTACCTCTGCGAAGTGGACTACTATGCAGCCTTTAAAAACAATGAGGTACGCACACACACAGACACACAGGTGCGTACGGGCAATCATATGCACATGCACACAAAGTCTGTATACGCTGGATAATTAAGTGAAAAACCAAAGTGCTGAGCAGCATTCGATTCCATTTGTGTGGAGAGAAAAGGATGAATTTATACATTTGCTTGTCTAGACAGAATAGTTCTGAAAGGTTCCATAATGGTAATAGCGCGTATCTAACGGGTTTTTATTACGTATAAAACAGTTTCATGGACTCTTTAATGTATTCCTCATATCAACCCTATAGAGTAAGAATCACTTTTCTACCTGTTTTATACATGAGAAAACACAAGGCTTAGAGAGATTAAGAAACTTGCCAGAGGTCACATACCTAGTAAGCAGAGAGAGTGGCAGAACCAGGTGTGAGCCAGGCAGGCTCACCTCTTGACTTTGCAACACTGTTAATAGTGAAAGTGCAAATAAGAGATTAAACTGGGCCAGGCTGGTGAGGCATTTTCAGTAAATAATGCTCAAGTGCCAGGTGCCATTATTGTTGCCGTCTGGACAGCTCTGATGAGAGGCGGAGAGTAGCCCTTTATGACACTCTGGCCAAGGAGAGGAATGTTTTCCTTTTGAACATTCGGCCACAATTAATAAGCCCCCATTTTCTTCTCTGAGGAAGGAAAAGCAAAATAATAGATCTTGGTTCAGGACAGCTCATCTTTAGCTGTAACGAAAACAAACAAACAAAAAACACCTGTATATCTTTTGAAAGAACCCAAACCCCCTCATTGCCTTTGAGTCGATTCTGACTCATAGAGACCCTATAGGACAGAATAGAACTGCTCCAAAGGGTTTCCAAGGCTGAAATCTTTCGGAAGCAGAGTGCCACATTTTTCTCCTATGGAGCAGCTGGTGGGTTTAAACCACTGGCCTTCCAGTTAGCAACTGAATGCTTTAACCCCTGCACCACCAGGGCTCCTGTATCTTTTGAAAGAAGGGGGAGCAAATTAAAAATGAGGAAATGTTAGTATATGGGCTGGCAAACTTTACCACATACATTCATTTTCTCTCCCTCTGTTCCCCTGGCTGGGAAATAAGACAGTGAGGGCTTCCTTCCGTGCTCTTGACCCTTTATGATTACAAGGGTTATGATGATAAAAACATCTGAGGATAGGCTGCTTACTGAGTACTGGAAACAAATACCATCTAAGAGACTTTGACTTAGATAAAAGGCAGGTGAAGTTGAAGCCCACCAAAGACATGAAAAAGTTAGGGAACTTAGGCTGTGCCTAATAAATGTCAGAACATCTGGACAAAGAGGAAAAAAAATATGGTATTGGCCATGTTTGTCTTACTCTGTCTCGCTCTGAAAACCAGCATCTAGGTATTTGGGTGGAATGGAGCGAGATATAGAGGAATGGTTAAGTTTTACTTTATAGTGTGAATACTATAAAAAGTCTGCTTCCTTTTTATTTTGTGGCTCTTTCAGTTTAATCCTCTGAAAAGAATCCCTTATTTAAAAGAAAAGGTACTATAAAATCTTGGGGGGCGGAGGGAGAAAGAGAAAACCCACCAACAAGGATTTTCTAGCGATGCTTCTAGCAATATCTACCTGGCCAGTTGGTTTTGACATAGATGCCCCACCCCTGCATGGGCTGCTTGCGTTGTGAAAGTTGATGCACTAGTAACAAGGAGCTGGTCAAGGCAGCTGCTCACAAATCCCTTCTTTGAATGCTTGTACTGAGCAAGGCTCTCTCTTCTTATGTGTGTTTGGTCATTTCCCATTAGGTAAAGTCAGCATGTTAGAGAGATACGGCTCTGTGATTTGGGTTGCCATGGAAACATCCGCATGTCAGGTGGAACTAGAGCTGGTCCCTGCAGTGGAGATCCCCACCGCCTGGTCTGCGAAAGCCCGGTGGCCCCGATGTCTGAAGCGCTGGCCTTCCCCGGAGAGAGTGGAGTGCATCAAGGTATCAGTGGGCAGGCCCAGCTCACCGAGGCAGAGATGCTCAGAGTTTAACCAATCGCAGTGCTACTGACTGCCAACCGGCTTCCGGAGGAAAGTTGAATTTAACCGCAGGTTTCAATAGATCACGGGTTCTCACAGTGTGGTTCCCAGACTGCAGCAGCAGCAGCAGCAGCACCGGGAACTTAATAGAAATGCACATTCCTGGACCCTACTCTGAATCTACTGAAAGAGACTCTGTGGGGAGGACCCATCAGTCTATACCTTAATTAGCCCTCCAGGTGATTGCGATGCACACACTGGTTTGAGAACCACTGCACAAGAGAATGTGGAATACAGGCTTCTCCTGTTAACTTTCCTTCTTAAAGGTGGTTTGTGTTTTCCCTGAGGAGTCCCTGGGTGGCACAAACAATTAAGTGTTCAGCTGCTAACCGAAAGGTTGGATGTTTGAGTCTGCCCAGAGTTGCCTTGGAAGAAAGACCTGGTGATCTACTTCCAAAACTCAGCCATTGAAAACCTTATGGAGCACAGTTGTCCTCTGACACACATGGGGTCACCGTGAGTCAGAATCGACTCCACAGCAACTGGTTTTTCCCTCCTTGTCCCCATGGAGGATGCACTGCCCGTCAGTAATAGATCCCCCAGACTAGCGGATTACTCCAGAGATGGCTTTCTACCTCAGCACACATCATCCTTCTCATTTTGCCTTTCTCCCCACTCTTCTTGCAGTCATTTGGGTTTGACTTGTTGGCCCGTTCAAATTATCACTGGCAGCTGAGCTTCTGCCGGGCAGAGCAAGTGATGCTGGAGCTGCTGGATGAGGATGGAGGCTGCCGCAGGAAGTGCTTCCAGGTCCTGCGGCAGATGAAGGAGGATGTCTGGTGTCCAGGGAAGAGGCCGGTTCTCACATCCCACCACCTGCAGGTGAGTGTGCCAGATGCGCTGTCGTGGGCACAGGAGCGGCTTGGTCAGGAGGTGCCCCTTCTGCATACTGTGTAGGGCCTGGCCAAAGCCATGCAGAGGGGGGTGTGAGTGTGTGTGTGAGTGCCTGAGGGATGAGTTCAGGATGGGGCTCTGGTGTCCATATTCGGCATCCTGCCAATTATTACTCCTTATGGAAATATACAAAACCAGGCTGTATGGGTGTGTCTACAACACCCCTGAGCCAGGGTAGCAAATATCCTCTGCTTCCCTCCCTTCCCTTCTCCCATTCCCCTCTTCCCCTTTTCTGTTTTCTTTTCTCCTCCTCTGCTTTCTCCTTCTCCTCCTTCTTCTCCTCCTCTTCCTCCCCTTCTTCCTTCTTCCCCTCTTCTCCCTCCTCATGCTCCTCATCTCCCTTCTTCTTCTCCTTTCCCTCCTCTCTCCTCTCCCTCCTCCCCCTTCTCCTGTCCTGCTTCCCCTCCTCTTCCCCCTCTTCCCCGTCTTCCTCCACAATTAGGCATCCACTCCCTGGGATGAATGTGACTGGTGACAACTGTGATATTAGACATTCATCCTGGATGATGGCTTCAGTGTGTTGAATCCTTGCCAAAGCTTCAGTCTGGGGAAAGTGGAAGAGGTTGGGTTGCAAAACATTACCAGAAAGCATGTGCCAACCACGGTCCTTTCACCTTAAGTCTTATTAGGACCTCACCTTCTCCCCAAAGAGGCTCTCCCGCAAGGCTATTTCATCTAAAGCAAGAGCTTATTTTTCCTTGGCTTATTTATTCCTAAATCTCACTCAAAGTCACACAGGCTTGACTATAATTGGCTTAACTGCTTCAGTTTGCTTACAGAGATAAAAGTTTTAACTAACAAGTGGAATTAAATTGTTTTTCCCCCCATCTATGTTATCTTGATGAGCATGAAAATATCTCTGACTCGTTTACTCAAAATGATATAATCTAAATCAAAATATACTCAATACCTAAACCATAACATTAAATAATTAATGTATTACTTATTCAATAAAAGTTTGACTGTCTCCCATGACCAGTCCCTTTTCTGGGTGCTAGTGACATAATACTGAATAAAAATACAGTCCCCTGCTCTCATGGAATTTATAGTCTAGTAGGGGAGATGAGAAAAATAAAATAATCACATAAATAAATAACAACAACAACAAAAATCCTTACTACTGTGATCATTGCTTCTTATGAGAAGTACATGGCCAAGAGAAAGTGTAATGGATGTATTAGGGGAAATCTGACCTGGTGTTTAAGTTACCTGGGCAAAGGGGAGAAAGAAGAGTGCTCCAGAAAAAATAGGATGGGCAGATGGTCTGTGGTAGAAGAGAGCATGAAACGAAGTCAGTGTGGCCAGATGGAGAGAGCAAGGGAGAATATGGGGCAAGATGAAGCTGGGAGGGAAAGTAGGGACCCAACCACCCCATGTTAAGGTATGTATTTTTAACTGACAAACAGGAGTCAACCTTTAAAGTATTTTAAAGAAGGAGGAATAAAAGCAAATATATTTTTATATTTGAAAAAGACAACTTTATCTGCAGAGTGGACAAGAGACAAGGACAAGTGCACGCAGATCAGTTAGATAGCTGTTGTAGAGGTCAGGGTCAGATGTGATGACAGCATGGAAGAGGATGGATGGAGATAAGGGGGTAGGCTTGAGAAATACTTAAGCAGAAAGATTGATGGGACTTGATAGGAAGTGGTGAGGGAGAGACATAACCCTGAGGTTTGTGTCTTACAAAACTGACAGGATAAGCAACTCTGGAGGTGGACGAGGTTTGTGGTGGAAGACCATGAGTTCAGTTTAGACATGTTGAGATTGAAGTAACTTTTTGATATCTAAGAGATAGTAGGTAAGCAGTTCAGAGGAGAAAAAAAATTGCAAGTCACCTGCATTTAGTGGTAATTAAAGCCACTGATATCGATTAGAGTGTCCAGGAAATGGACACAGTAAGAGGAGAAATGGGCCTAGGACTGATTCTTCAAAATGTCAACATTTAGAGGTAGATAAAGGATGATGGAGCCCTGGTGGCACAGTGCTTAAGAGCCCAGCTACTAACCAAAAGGTTGGCAGTTCGAATCCACCAGCTACTCCTTGGAAACCCTACGAGGCAGTTCTACTCTGTCTTATAGGGTGGCTTTGAGTCGTAATCGACTTGATGGCAGCAGGTTTGGTTTTTTGGAAAGGAGGATGAGTCTGCCAAGGAGTAGCTGTAATGTTGGGAGAAAACCAAGAGAGTATGATGGCTTGGAAGCCAGGTGAAGAATCGCTTAAGAGGAATGGTATGGACAAGAGAATCCAATTCTGCTGAAAGTTAATTAGGTGAAGCTAAAAAAGGCCTGTTGGGGTTTTCAACATGGAGATCATTGGATCTTAATGAGAGTAGCTTTTGAGGATTAATGGCAGAAGAATCCATATTGAAGTGGATTGAAGCAGGGAATGACAGAGAAATGACAAACTAGAGAACTCTTGGGAGAAGTCTGGATTTGCAGAGAGGTAAGAGTTAGGATAAGGCATTGGTGTTTCAGTGGTAGAGTTCTTGCCTTCCATGTGTGAGAACCAGGTTCAATTCCTGCCCGTGTACCTCATACACAGCCACCACCCATCTGTCAGTGGAGGCTTGCATGTTGCTATGATGCTGAACAGGTTTCAGCGGAGCTTCCAAACTAGGATGAATGACAGCTAACAACAGCAAGGGTTAGGGCAGGAGGGAGATGTAGGGCTGGAAGAGTAGCAGAGCTTTGAATTTTTTTTTTTAAAAATAGTGAGGAGGAGGGTAATCAATCATATACACTTCCTGTGAGACTGGATCCAGAGCCCAACAGAGGGACTAGCCCCAGCAGGAAGATAGGAGGATACAGATGTAGCAGACTTGTCTAGTTGGGGAGGATGAGAGTTTCCATTTTCCTGTAAAGTCTGAGGCAAAGACATCTGCCAGGGGTGGGGTATTGCAGATTTAAGGAGAATGGTGATCATTGGAAATGGCTATGTAGAATGAGAGAATAAATTAACAAAGAGGCAGAGGAGGCTAGCTGGGCAAGGCTGAGTGTCACCTCAGGTTGGGGATCATGAATTCATGGTGGAACCCATTTGCCCTGGGGGACTCCTTGCTCCCTCCTTCCCTAGTGTGAGCTCAATAATACTTCCGAAGAAATTTTCTTTAATGGCTCGAACCAGTGTCTGACACCGATCTCTTCCTTCCACAGACAGTGCTCTTTTGGACTTGTGAGAAATATCCCCATTCCAAGGACTGGCAGGTTTTCAGCAAATCATTCCTGCGCCTGGTACAGAAACTGCACAAGTGCGTGAGCCAGCACTTTCTGAAACACTATTTCGTGCGCAAGAGCAACCTCCTTCGGTATGCCAATTCGGTTGAACTGGATGCCGTGGCCCAAAAACTGGTCGCCTTCCTGAAGAACCCCCAGATCAGCCTGCCCTGAGGGCAACCCCTGCACAGGAGGCTCTTGGACATTTCACAAGGGCTCGACTGCCTTTTCTGTGGATCATTCCTCAGTCCAGTACCAGGGTCCTGCCCAGGAGAGAGGCAAACTATGGTGGAGGAACTTCTATTGAACCTGTAGCACTTATAAGGGGAAAACTGTGTCCCATGATGTCTGGTTCAGGCCTTCCCAGAGCCAATCAAGCATTTCAGCTCTCACTACCTCTCTTGGGGACAGCTCTCATAAAGCTTCCCCAAGCCACAGATTCTGAACTGATGACAGTTCTAAGTTTATTTTCCCTTGCTCAGGCTCTGATGATCTGGCAGGGAGGATGGGGACAAGAACCGCTGGAGGGCCAGGCATTAGCCTGCTGCCCAGGAGTGGTTCTTCAGCTCACTGACCACAGGCTCGATATTTTTCCATTTGTAAAGTGGAACTGTGAATATGCCTCCCTGCATATTCATTTAGGGCTTTGAGCCTACGGGACAGTTCTGGTGCCCTTCCAAGGGAAAGGCATTGGATCAACACAAAGTGTTACTACTTGGTTTAGTAGCTGATGTTTGCATCCTAGAGTCCGTGGGTGGTGCAAACAGTTAACAAGCTGGGCTGCTAACCAAAAAGTGGAGGTTTGAGGCCGCCCAGAGGTGCCTCAGAAGAAAGGTCTAGCAATCTACTCCTGAAAAATCAACCATGGAAAACCCTAAGGAGCATGCTTCTACTCTGACACACACGAGGTCACCTGGAGTCAGAGTGGAATCTGTTCGTTTTTTTGGTTTGTATCCTGGATGGATACCTACACACCTGATTAAATGATGACACCTGTTGAGTTAGCATGCTTGCTGTCTTAGTTTCCTAGGGCTGCCACAAGAAAATACCACAAAGTAGGTAGCTTTAAAGAATAGAAATTTACTTTTTCACAGTTCTGGAGGCTAGAAGTCCAAACTCAGGGTATTGGCAGGGCTGTGTTCTCTCTTTGTGTTGGCTCCAGGGGAAAGGCCTTCCTTGTGTCAACTTCTGATCATTTCTTGGTGTTCCTTGGCACACAGACCTTCATGTGGTGTCTTCCCCTGGTGTGACTGCTTCTGTTCCTTTTATAAGACACCATTCAGAAGAGTTTAGGATTAGGACCCACTGTACTCCAGTATGACCATGTTTAACTTCACTGGTAACATCTGCAAAAAACAACAAAACAAAAAAAAAACCCAAACAAAGTCGCTTTCACAGATACAGGGGTTAAGACTTCAATGTACCTTTTGGAAGGGACACAATTCAATTCATAAGACCTGTGTTTCATTTGCTGCCCCCCGTGCTCGCCTAAACAGTGGTTCGTGGATGCTTCTACTTCCCTGGTGTTCTCAAAGCAGGGAAACAGGATGAGAGTGATGTTGATAGCTAGTGTAAGTCACAGATGCAAGCGTGGCTCTGTCTGACAGCTTGAGCCAAACCACTCACCCCTCTGCTTCCTTTACCATGGGACAAGGAAGGAGCTTCCTTGTAATTATAGAATGAGCTCTTGCTGGCATCTGCATGGAATGGCTTTGGTGTCACTCATCTCTCTCTGAACACATTCCTTTGCTCACCTCACTCAGTCACTCCCTGATAAATGTATGTTTACTTGGCACCGAGAATACAGCAACGGCAAAATGGACAAGGACTTACCCTGATGGGGATGACACCTAATGATGGAGACAGGAAATTAATAACAAATAAACACAATTATTACAGATTCCCAGCCAGTGCACCTCAAGCACAGCCACCACCCACCTGTCAGTGGAGGCTTGCGTGTTACTATGATGCTGAACATGTTTCAGTGGAGCTTCTAGACTAAGACAGATTAGGAAGAAAGGCCTGGTCATCTACTTCTGAAAATCAGCCAGTGAAAGCCCTCTGGATCACAATGGTCCAGTCCAAAGCTGGTCATGGGAATGGTTCAGGATCAAGCAGCGTTTTATTTGATGGTGCATGGGGTCACCATGAGTCAAGGGCTGACTCCATGGCAGCTAACAGCAACAACAAGTGCTCTGAAGGAAATAAACAGAAAGTTGTACCTCCTGAAAATAACAAGAAGATTTAAAGGATCCTTAAAGGATGAAAATGCAAACGGCTGGAAGAGAAAGGAAGGGACCAGCTACAGGCTTGGAGGGCTTGGCATGAGTCACCCCATGCCAGCCTTGTAAAGCTGATGAGGAATCTCTATTCTAATACCAACAGTTTGACATTTGGCCTCTCCCAAACTAGAGGGGGTATCAAGATCTGATTTGCATTTTAAATGATCACTATGGCCACTGCCTGAAGAGGGCCTGGGGCTCACCTGAGTCAGGGCACTGAAGGCCCTGGAGCCCACCTATTTTGGATTTCACTGAGGCATCTGAAAGCCACACATCCTGCCCAGCACAGATGACCAGGAATTCTTAGAGTTCTCAATGAGAGCAATGCTTTTTTCTAGGATTTACTTATGCTTTTTAACTGAAGGGAACCCTATATTACTTTTAAACATTTTGTCCCCAATATATGACAAAGTAAAATTTCTAAAAGCATGGACTACTGACTTGTTTAATAAAAACTTACATATGAAAATAAAAAGTGTTCTTGCAATAGCACTGTAAACAGATGATGAGGTCCTTGGGTTATCAAAAAGGAAATCATGGTTTTAAAATACTGGGGAAAAAAAAGTCTTTCCAAGCATACAGTAAGTATACAATTTATGAACACACTAAATGATGAACCAGTGTTTTGTTAAGTCATCAAAACTTGCATTTTAATTCTCATTTTCTTGGATCTTGGGAAACATCATTTTTGAGGAAGTGTCAGATGAAACAAGTTTATTTAAAGGATGAGACGACTGAAGCAATTTTTAAAACAGCTTTATGGTCCCAGAATGGCAAAAAGTGAAAGCTGACTGTACCACTGATTCAAAATGTGTGTCTGTGTGGGAGAGGGATGGGATTGACATACTCCACCATCTGAGCCCAGTAGGTTCTTCCACCTCTCCCCAGTAGATCTGTGGTTTTTAAGACGAAGTAGAGCTGTTCGCATGGGGGCAGTGGTGGTTCAATGGTAGAATTCTCATCTTCCATGCATGCTTTTGGGGTTCAGTTCCCTGTCAATGCATTATGATGCTGAAGAAGTTTCAGTGGATTTTCCTAAGATGGACTAGGAAGAAAGGCCTATAAATTTACTTCGAAAATCAGTCAATGAAAATCCTGTGGATCATAATGGTCCAATCTGTAACCGATCATGGGGATGGTGCAGAACCGGGCAGCATTTTGTTCCTTGTGGCTTGAGTCTCCAATGAGTGGGGACTGACTTGTCGGCAGCTAACCGAGCTGTTTGCAGATTTCTGAGCGTTCCCATGCTTACCAGCAGAGGACAGTGGAGGACAATATATGAAAAGAGCCATATCCTGCCTAGACTCATTCCCAGAGCCCAGCAGGTGTCACCCCCACTCAGCCCATAATTTACACCTAGCTTCTCCAAAAAAGGAAGTAGGGACAGTGGATTCCAGCTGATATTAAATCGTTGAATTTTTCTGCCACTTTGGCCAAAAATTACAGTCTTTCTGCTTAAAGCTCAGATAGATTTTAAAAGGCAGCCTATGAGGAGAGTTTATCCTGGGGCTTGTGAAGCGTTCAGCTCCATTCTGTTTCCTGGGACAGACTGCACAGCTCTGAGAAGTCTGATAATCTTACTCCTTTACTTTGGTCAGCTTTTTCTTTTATTCTCTAATAGACTTTCCATCCACGTCCACTCTTCTAGGCAAAGGACTACATTTCATGCTGATGGTTGAGTATGCAGGCACTGCAATTAACCTGCTAGCATTTGAGTCCCAGCTCTGAGGCTGTCTAACTGCAAGTTGTTTAACCTTGCTAAATCTCCACTTTCTTATCTTGAAAATGGGCATCCTGAAAGAATATGTATCTCAAAGCTTTGAGGAGAGGGATACATGAAACAATGGATTTAAAGCTCTTACTTTAGTACCTCGCACGAGTGTCTCAGTTTCCTAGCGCTGCTGTAACACAAATACCACAAGTGGGTGGCTTTAAAGAACATAAATTTATTTCCTCACAGTTCTGGAGGCTAGAAGTCCAAATCAGGGTCTTGGCCACGTCAATTTCTTCCTTGTCCGTAGCCCTGGGCATTCCTTGGTTCCTTGGCTTGTAGCTGTCCTCACATGGTGTCCGTCTTCCTCTGTGTGTGTGTGTGTGTGTGTGTGTAGTGTGTATCCATTCTGCTCTTTTTATAACTCGGAAGTGGTAAGATTTAGAACCCACCCCACTTAGGTATGACCTACTTAACAAAGAAAACCCTATTCCTCAGCAGGACATATTTATAAGTATGTTCTTGTTAGGTGCCATCAAGTCGGTTCCAACCTGTAGCGACCCTATGTACAACAGAATGAACACTGCCTGGTCTTGCGCCATCTTCACAATGGTTATGCTTGAGCCCATTGTTGCAGCTACTGTGTCAATCCATCCTGTTGAGGATCTTTCTCTTTTTTGCCGACCATCTACTTTACCAAGCATGATGTCCTTCTCCAGGGACTGGTCCCTCCTGATAACATGACCAAAGTACGTGAAACAAAGTCTTGTCATCCTTGCTTCTAAGGAGCATTCTAACTGTACTTCTTCCAATACAGAGTTCCTTCTGGCAGTCCATGGTATATTCAATACTCTTCTCCAACACCATAACTCAAAGACACCAGTTCTTCTTTGGTCTTCATTATCCATTGTCCAGCTTTCACATGCATATGGGCAATGGAAAACACCATAGCTTGGGTCAGGTGCACCTCAGTCCTTAAAGTGACATCTTTGCTTTTTAACACTTTGAAGAGGTCTTTTGTAGCAGATTTGCCCAGTGCAATAGGTTGTGTGATTTCTTGACTGCTGCTTCCATGGGCATTGATTGTGTGAAATCCTTGGCAGCTTCAATATTTTCTCCGTTTATCATGATGTTGCTTATTGGTCCAATTGTGAGGATTTTCGTTTTCTTCATGTTGAGGT